TAGTAATTTCCCATGGCGATCGCCTGTGGCTGATTTATAAAAGAACAAGGAGGTGAGAGAGGCTTAGAGGACCCAGTATCAACAGAACCACAGAAGCCGGGACCAGACCCTGAAAAACAACTTGGCCCTACCACGTCGACTATGTCAACTACTGTGACTGCCGCAATTGCAACGCTGCCAATACGATTCCTGCCATGCCTGCTACTCCTACTACTTCTGCTGCCCTACCTTCTACTCTTTCTGAAGGCCACAGGGCCGGCTCATGCCACTGGGTCTAGAATCACTATCACGCGGCAGAATCTTCTTCTTTATTGGGCCCAGTAGCAACGTTGCCCGTCACGTCGATCTGGTGGTTGTGGAACCTAAGCCCCGAGCAAGCCACGAAAGAAGGGCCCGTAAGGTGAGGGTCTAAACACCTTGAGCTCGAAGCCAAGTTAACCCCTCAACTGAGTGGGTGCCTGCCGTTCTAGGTGTGCTGGTGGGTAAACCTCTTGTGTTGGGAACAACACATAGATTCTCTGCGATTTGGACTATGCATGGGAGCACGCAGCTAAGAGTTCGGAACAGTTCGAAATAGTTAGGACCATTGCAATTCCGTACTAGTTCCGAGCGATCCGGACTACATACACGCACATGCATTATATATATATATAGATCTTCAATACTTATATACACCTGTGACATATGTAGATAACATGCTGTCGTGCCGTGTTGTGGCGCTTTGCACTGAAGCTTTGCGAAATAATTCCACATGAATCCGTGCGATGTATAACTTGGAACGGTTCCAGTCCGGGCCCAGCGGAGAAATCATTCGGGCCTACTCTCTCGCCCACAAACACATCAACGCGATCATGCCCCTAAAGTGGGGTGCCCAGGAACACCACGTCAGCCCAGCCTTTTCCACCGTTGATGGCAAAGCCGGCATCCTCAATAGGCATTTTGGTGATTAGGGTGTGCCTTTTTGATTGGGGGTTTAGGCTTGAGGTCTAGGGCTTCGGCTTGAGGGCCTTGTGAATACAAATATCCGACATTGGAAAACAGAGGTACTTTCTGGACATCACAGGGACCGTGTTTGTTACGGTGAGACGAAACAATCCGGACGTATGTATAGGAAAGGTGTTTTCTGAATTGTGAAATAAAATCGTACTCTGGTTGGGGATTGGTGTTGTTGGCGGACATCCATGAGTCGTGACAGCAGGGTCTCTAGCTGGTCGGGAGCCTCAGCGAGGGCAATTAGCTAACCGATCAGGGAGAATCAGAAAACAGCCAACCCTGGACAGCCTCCGCAATGCCGTTCGCCACTGCCTTGTGCCCAACAAAGTACCTCAACTACAGACTACTTAGGAAAGGATTTGTATCAACTCCTTTTTCATCTCAGCAGAATCTGGTTCCGAAATGGTTGCTGCTGGTTACCAAACTTATTACAACAACGAACAAAACTGGCGTTCCAAAGTAGGCTTGGATGCGACATTGCGTCGGAGGCTGTTGGTCGGAATTGATGTGTGGCTGCCTGCATGGTCATTATTCGATTACTGTAAAAATCGCGCACCACCTGGGATCCTCAAACTACGGCATTGGCCTGGCTTTGAGGTATCCAGGGTGCTGTGCAAGGCCTTGGAAAGCCCTGTTCTGCCATCTGTAGGCCTTGTATCCCAGCTTTGGATTCGTTCCGTCAGCTCTAGCAGAATTAAGTGGAAGCCAAAAAGAAAGCAATAAACGACACTTTTCAGATCCACCCCAGCCTTGGTAGGCTTGAAGAGCACATTGGTGTGTCCGTATCCATACAGCTCACCTGCGGCCTTGGCGGCCTCCGCGACATAGTCGCCTTGTGTTGTGCAGACTGTCAGAGAATGTCAGTTCCAAGAACCCTCAGCCCCAATCTTGAAACCACCCCCCATGACTCTGCAATATTCCCTCATGATCCCCATACAGCCCATACAGAACCGTAGAACGGGGTCCATGTTTCTTTTTAGAAGCCCGCACCTCCAGAAAGGTAGGTCTTGGAGATGGTCTTAATGGCGTTGGCCCAGGCCGTCTGCACAGCTTTCACTTCCTCCTCGGAGATGGAAGGCACGAAGGGCACCTGGGTCGGTGATGCCGGATTGCCGTTCCATACGTTTCTCACATGACATAAAGCTTGCAAAGTTTGAAATCACAGCAGCGGGCAAATGGACTGCTTCATCCGGCCATCCTCTGTACTTGCAATGTGTGCAAACCTCATGAGAATCCTGAACCGCAACCAAGACGCTGATGAGTGGTGCAGGAAGATGCGCACGTTGC